ATTTGTTGTGTTTATATATATATATATATATATATATATATATATATTATATAGTCAGAAATTTTCTTCTAAAATTAGCATTTTTATCAGGCTCCTATTAAAAAAAAGCTTATTTTAGATGAAAATTTCAGATGGCACTTGGAAGCTTTTGCATCTGAACTCGTATATGTAAGTGTGTGTGTGTGTATACAGTATATATTAGGGCTGGACAATAATTCAATATCAATATGTATCGCGATAAAAAAAAATTAAATAACAGTGATATGATTTTTAAACACATTTCCAATATTTCAATATACATTACCAATGTTTCCCATACATTGATTTATTTGTGGCGTTTGACTTCGTTGAATAAACATGAGCACTGCACGTTTCAAAATCATAACACAGCACGGGTGTTTTATATGAATGTATCTCTGAAGGGAAAGGACTGTCTTCAGAAAAGTTTCGATGGCGTTTTCATTTTATCTGATAAAGAAGCGTTCATGAGCGGAGCGGAGCTGATTTGATTACAGCCATTACCAGGGAAACCGCTCTCAAAGCGCCTCCTGCTGGCAGACAATCAGTTTGCATTTTCAATAAGCCCGTCTCCAGCAACCCTTTTTTCTGGCTGAAGCACATTTGTTTCAATCTATAAGAATAATCAGCCTACACTACCAGTCAAAAGGTTTTGAACAGTAAGATTTCTAATGTTTTTTTGTATTTATTTTTTTTTTATTCTCTTCTGCTCACTAAGCCTGCATTTATTTGATCCAAAGTATGCTGTTCTTCTAAACTTTCTATTCATCAACGAAACCTGAAAAAATTATACTCAGCTGTTTTCAACATAATAATAAATGATTTTTGAGCAGCAAATCAGAATATTAGAATGATTTCTGAAGGATCATGTGACTGGAGTAATGATGCTAAAAATATAGATTTTTTTTTCTAAAATATTATATGGTTTAACTTTTATATGAGGTGTCACTGACTTGGCAAATTCATTTTTCATAAGTTTGTATGCACAGACATCTGTTGTGGCCGTTCTTGGCAGTTTTTACGAGGCTTTTTTTAATAGTGTTACATATAGCACATATATCTCGGGCAACCTGAGTCCCGAGTCTGTTCCCACCACGCCACTAAAATGTCAAATCAAACAAAAAAACAACAGAAAAATCTACTAACATGCTAATCGACTAGTCAGTTTTGAGACTAGTCGATTAGTAGACCATGAAATTCATCTCTAATGTAAGCTATATAAAGCTAAAAAAAAAAGCTAAATAAAATATAGTTGTTGTTTTTTTTACAAATACTTATCATGCACCTTTTTTAATTAAAGATCATTAACTAGAATACATTTTTCAGACCGGTAAAGTGAGCATTAGAAAGCTCACTTTAATTGACTGTTCCCTGTATCCTAACCACATGCGGCTCTGATAGTGCCCTCCAAAACCAAAGCCAATCCATTGTAAATGCACATGTCCGAAAACTGCAAAGATTCCATCACAGAAGTTCAAGGCTATCAAGTAATCTCGCCCTTGTGATCACTGTGAATAATTAAACAATCTTTTATGAGTGCTATCATTCCTCCAGATGGTACAATAGGATGTTTGCTCTCCTCCACTGTGTTTATAAGGAACAGACGTCACATTAAGGGGCCTGCGGCGTAGAGCCTGTGTGGCAAGCAGAGGCACATTACTCCACATCTTAGTGTGAGGCTGGAGGACTGTGTGACATCCCTGTCTAAACAGTGAGCTTCTCTGTAACAGCACGCTAGCCACAGGGTCTCTTGATGCGTCTGCAAGCGCGACATGCCTAAATAGGTGGGCCCACACATTCTCACAAGGGCAAACATGTCACAGAGATAAGCGCAACCCCCTAGAAAGTGCGTCACGTGTCACTTGTGCAGGATATGATGAGGTATAAGATGAATTCTTTATAGCTGCAAATGCTGTTGATCAGGTCTCCGTGTTTCATTTACTTCACTAATAATGAATGTTTTTGTTTGAAAAGCTATTAAAAACACATAACATACAAGTAAAGAGTTTATTTCCATCTAACCACTTCATGACAAATCATGAATAAAATTCAGAGTATGGACCCATGGACAGTTGCTGTCGCTAACTTTATACACCCGCTATTTGTTCCTCACTCTGCTTTTGTACTTTGTTTAAAGGGCGGCCAAATAAAGTCAGAGAAAAAAAGTCCATCTGACAGCAAGACACAGAAGTACCTTTGTATGTGAGAATGTCAACAGTTACTCAGGGTGAATACAGACGAGCCCCGAGCAGGAAAGCGCAAGGACAGTGTGAACGCAATGGAGGAAGTCGAGAATACCCAACTTGTGGGACTGACCGGTACGTGTACAAGCTATCACTTCTAAGGTAAAATCTATGCTTCTGAAAGCATCTCCGCCAAGCACAGAAACTGTAGACATCTAAAAAGCATTTGTGATTGATAGCAGCATCATCATATTTCGCAAGCATTCCTGTAGCTCAGCAGTAAAGCATAGCACTACCAACACCAAGGTCATGGGTTCAATTCCCAGGAAATGGATGAACTGATAAAACGTATACCTTGGCTGTAATGCAAGTCACTTTCGATTACTGTGTCTGTTAAATTCATAAATATAAGCTACATTTGCTCCCCCAAACTCGAAACTCATCGAACTACTGTGTCTTACAGAATCAGAGTGACTGAATCAAAAGAAGGACAGGCTGTCGGTTGCTTTGACACAATCTGTATTGTTAAAAGCGTTATATAAATAAAGGTGACTTGACTTGACTTGACTTTGGCACAGAAATTAGTGCGTTGCACCAGACATGTGATCATGTGGAACCTGGTTCTAGTCCCGGTCCTGTCTGGCTTCCTGTACACTCCGAGAAAAATTAGCAAAAATTGCCCCTTTAAGGGGACAATACCTTGTCACTGAGAAAGTACCCTTAAAAAGACAACTTTTACCTTACTTCCCCCTTAAAGGAGCATAGTAGCACTTTTAGGGGAATATATTACTACTCTAAGGTGCTAAGATGCACTTTTTACAAAGTTCTCCCTTAAGTGTAGTGCCCCAATGACAAGCTGTTGTACCATTAAAGATTCAATATTTGCACATTCTTTTCTGACACTGTATTTTCCACAAATTATCCACTATCCTGTCTACGAAAGCCAACAAATTAAGTATAAAAGAGAACAGCGTATAACAGGTGGTCTTACCGCTTTCTGTTGTGTCTGCAGGAACGCTGGGGACCGCTCTGTGTCACTGGAAATGTCGTCTTCTGATTCCTCCCAGGAAGAGGAGAATCCCGTTGATGAGGCAGAAGAAGAGGAGAGCTTCCTCAAGGCTCTGTAAGGTTGAGGACTAACCTGGGGCTCCTTGCCCTCCCCACTGACATCCATGCCGTGGTCCGTAATAATGACAGCGGGGATGGAGCCCACCTCTGCCTGGGTTTCTTTTGGCTCAGCTCCCTCCTTTGTCAAACATGTCTCAGTCCAAGATGCTGAGCACTTGTTGGACTCTGGTGAAGTCCTGGAGTGATTGTTGGTAGAGCTGTCAGCTTCGCTCTTAGTTCCTGCTGATGTGCTCTCAAGTGGGCCACACTCTTCTGTATTTGGGTCAGCCCCATTCTTCTCTTCAACGCTGATCTGCAGCCCCTCCTCCTCCATGCCAGAGAAGCGCTTTCCATTTTGCAGTTCTTTGGGGATCCCCGTTGAGTGATAATTGTTCTGCGTCAGAAGTGTTTCCTCTGGGTTTAAGGAGAGATTGGCAAGTTGGACAGGGACAGAATTCAGGGGAGTTTTCCTGGAAATCCGTGGGCTTCGTTGAGCCTCTCGGCTGTGAGCCCGAGCCGATATTTGGGCTTCAAACAGGTCCACCTTCTTGTTCACCTCCACATTCTGCAGTTCCTTGTGGCGCTCGAGTTGCTGAGCGGCACGCCGTTCTTCGTTCTCCTGTTCTTCCTCCAGGCCAGACCCGCTCAGTCTTCGCACACGACTTCCAACATGCACGCCCAGCGATTCCGGCCGTCGACATGGTGAACGCGCCCTTTGGCAGCTGGAACCAGTACCTGTTGGGAAGACGAAGGATATTCCTGGTGACCCAGGGCTCAGGCTGCCGGGGCTATAGGGACCTCCACTGCCCCCCAGCACCGGGCTAAATGTAGAACGACTGGGCACTGGGAGCACAGGCCTTCCTGTCCGAGGGCTGCTCTTATTGGTCAGGTTGTTGGGGTTCATCATTATCAGGCTGTTCAGAGCATAAGCTGCCATAGTGGCAGGCTGACTCTGTCCGTTTTTGCTCCCATTTAGGTCTACTCATCCAAAGTCCACTGGCCTTTGGAGCCAACCATTGTTAGGAGGAACCAAGGAAAGCTGACACGTAGAATAAAATACAATCCCAGACTTCTTTCCTCATTCACATATTATATCCACTACTGGTTCATGCTTTAGCAGAGCACTGAAACAAAGCACAAAGAGATGGTTTAAATAGTCAATATGTGTTTAAATAGTCAATAATATCAAGTTTCAATGGTTAGCGTACTGTTGTTCAAAACACTGAATGTGATGGCTATGATAACAAGCAAGACTGAATAAATTCAATAAACGTGAGGGCATTTTAGAAATGCAAAAGTGCTGATTATTGTGGTCACTGTCGTCATGGTAATTTGCATTAAACACTTCTGCTGAAATACAGACAATAAATGTCTTGTGTAAATAACTTCTGCTGATCACCAAAGATTTTTATAATTGTGTTGGTTTTGATTGCTATCAAGATGTTTCCGTTGGCCTCTGCAGTGAGACACTGACAATTGTTTTAGCAAGTTTTGCTTGTCCTTCTAACTAATACTCACTCATTTATTTGTCTGAATAATCTTTACTAAATCACACTGCCTCTTCAGTCAGGGGAGTCTACATATTATGAACCCACAGTTTTAAGTGCGCCAGACAAAATACCTTTTTCCATTTGCAGAAACATAGACAGAGCGGATCAAATATAACCTTTCAACATAACATAACCTTTTATGTCTTCGCCAGGAAAAGAGAATGACTGAGGGTGTAATACAATACAACTTCATGCAAAAAAATAAAAAATTTCAAAATACCATAACCCTTAAATCACATTTGCCAGTCAGTAAACGAAAAGATAATGGTGCACATTAATTCTCTAATACCAAAAATGTACCTGTGTCTTTTTACTGTGCTAACAGTGATGGTTGTGAGGCCTGAACCCTGCTGATGTTAAGCATCTTAAGGAAAAACAGTCAGTGAGGTGTCCATTAGCTGCTTCCATTTATAGCAGCGACTTGGGAAAAAAGTTTAGTTTAACTGGTGCATTGAAATTTGATTAACTCAAAGGCTGAGGCAAATTATTTCATAATGAACCAGAACAATTTCCTGTAAGTTTTCCAAGTGGGACTAATTATTTTTGCAGTTGAGGCAAATGAACCGAGGATCAACACACCCAAAGAAAGCAGCAAAATATATGTGTATAGAAACTGTTTAGTTGCAAATATATAATTTTCCTAAACACTCTGTCAAGATGCTCACCTTCCAGTAACCATATGTGAATTAAAACATCCACCTCTTCGGTATGAATTTGGTTGTTCGATTAAATAGCGATGTCTTTCGTAGAGTCAAGATAAACATCACATGCTTTGACTAAGAAGTCAGGTGGGACGGACACATTGTGCCCTGCATTTTAACTTGAGGGGGAGAGGTCAAGGCTGGAATGCACCTCCTCTCTTTTAACCCAACCACCACCCTTAAAGTGACTTTAACGGTCCATTATTGCTCTGACACTTCAAATGCATCTTGAGGCATCCCACGTCACTGGTGTACCACACTGTTTGTGTTTCACAGCAAGTGTGATGTCTAAAAGCCGTTCATCATCACAGAGGATCATAACACAGCAGAGGGCTAATATGAACTAGAATGACTAAAAAAATGACTCTCGTGAGGCTTTAAGCATCTCAATAAAAGCCCTTCACTGAACTGCCCACTCTTTGGCATTCATTGAATTTGAATGAGCTGGAAAACACGTGGTGACTCTTGTGAACTCAATAGAAGCATTTGCCACATTCTTATTCCAAGAAAAGTTATATTCCATTGGGAGTATCACTTGTTAACTAATGTATAAGTACATAAATACTTATACATAAATAATATAAGAACATAAATGGATAGAGAAGTTCTTAATAAAACCTTATCACAGTTCTTGCAGAGGTGGAACACATGCATTTACATTCACACCTTACATTTAGTGTATATTGGGCAGTTTTTCTATATTTCCATAGTATTTTAATCAGTTTTCAGAACAGCGGTACCCAACACGTACACTTTCTATTGTATTGTCATCACTACTTAAGATGTCTCAACAACCCCTTAATAACAAACCCCGAATAGAAAACGCTTACATTATTACAGATCTCTGCAATACTCTCAATGCACTTCAAGTCAGATAGTTCATTCTGACTGTTTTAGGTCTCCTCCTGCATGTAGATGTTTCTAAAAAAGCAAACTTTTACAGCATGTCACACCAAAGTCGGATGCTTACCTACAAGTCTCTCCTTGTTGCAGACGCTGTTGTTTAAATTGTCGCTGAAGCGCGGATTCGCGAATTCGGAACACGTAGCAGAATAATACCCTGAGCTGCTCCGCTGCTGTTACATTCCAAGAGTTCTTTCGCCAATTTAAATCAATGTAGCTGTGTTACTGTGTATCACACGAGCAGTTCGACACCTCGAGTCAGAGCCGTATGTTTGTTTAATGTACAAAAGGCAGGAAGGAAGTTAAAATGACAGCGAGTCTGAATTCAACGGAACAGGCAGAGCCTCCCTGAGCTCTTTCGCACATTCAGCCCAAGGGGAAGAACAAGGCTTGATTTCTAAGACTTTAGCTCAGAACAGAAGAGCTCTATTTGATTTATTACTTTATTTACTAGATTGCTGAATATATGGATGTTTGTTTGGTTTCTTGTTTTGTTTACACGTATTTTACAAATCGACAAATCAAAGGTTTGCACCCACTTGACTGAATCTGCATGTATGTTTTTATCTTGAGGTGTATATATACAGTATATACACACAGTGTGTATATATATATATATATATATATACACACACAGAAATACATAAATACATAACACAAATTCAG